ATGATATAAATCGTGATATAAAAACGATGAAGAAAGCGGGAAAAAAAAAATTGTTAAGAAAAGAAGTTTTCTCTACGGTCCGAACTAAAAGAAACTTTGAGATCATATCTAAATCGAAATTTCCGAAAAATAAAGTTTTCTCTACGGTCCGAATTAAATGTAACTTTGAGACCATAACAAAATAACAAGGAAAAAGATACTTCATAAAAACAAGTCGAAAGCCGCTAGTTTATAAGAATCGCTCTTATGCTTATATGTATATGCATATGAATCCTTTAATGAAAAATTCAATCACACCCGATAAACACATATAGATAACATATAAATCTGTATCTACAATTCAACAACATATCTATTAAAAGAAAATATTATCTAAATAAGGATGAGTTCAAACAAAGATAGTTTATCTATGAAAGAACAAAAAGCATGCAAAAGATGTAAACAGGCTGTATGTGCATAAGGGTGTATAGGTGTAATGTGTAAGTCTGTGCTGTTTATGTCGTTCAGTAGAGTCTTGTATTGTTAGTAACCAGCGTAAAAGATTTGTCTGTGAACCAAACCAAGCAAGCCCAGCCATACTCCAGAAAACCATGATGGATTAAACACCTATGCATGGATTTATAACTGACTTATGACTAAAAAGCTAGCCAAGGCATCTTCCACAGACAAAAATCTTTTTTCGCGGTGACAGTAATTGCGATTAGGAAAATAGTCGTGCTCGATGACCGTAACACTAACCCTTACGGTCTAGGCCCAATATTATTTAAAAACTTTGGCATATAAAATTCGCCGAATGGTCACACACGAGCAGTGAACGCCTGAGGGAAGAAATGAAGTACATTAGAATAAAGGAGAATTATTTATTAGACAAAGCATTTTTGACAGTTGTCAAGACAAAAATAAAGATTAATAGAGGAATATTTAAAAATAAATAAGACAAGCTATACAACCAAAACAGTACTCAACCATAATAACAATAAAAAATGGTGAAAAGAGTTTCAGTATCATATATGGTACTGAAACTCTTTTCACCATTTTGCGTCATCAGAATTTAAAAATAAGTTTATTATGAAAATATGAGATACTTGTGTCTGAAGTCTGTAATTATCCATAATTACAGACTTCAGACATAAGTATCTCATATAATTACCCAATAAAGCAGTAAACACTACCTTTGCCCTTTTCTCTAGTGTCTGAACAGATAAAATATGTTTTGCAACTATTGTTGCACAGAAAAAAAAGTTCTATAGAATTTTCTATAAACTTTTGAAACATATGATCTATAGAAATTATATAGAATTCTATAGAATTTCTATAGAGTTTCTGTTAACTTCTATAAAAATTTCGATTGGAATTTTTTTTTTATAGAAAATTTTTTATAGAAATTGCTATAAAAAGTTTTATACCAATTTCTATAGAAATTATTAGACATTCTATAGAAATTCTATAGAAATTCTATAGAGTTTCTATAGATCATATGTTTCAAAAGTTTATAGAAAATTCTATAGAACTTTTTCTCCTGGGTGTTGAAAACAGTGCCAGTAAACAATTGAACAGTGTTCCTCCACAGTGCACTTTGTACTTCATTTGGTATGAAGTACACAATGCACTTTGTACTTCAATGGCATATATTTGCAAATATATGCCATTGCAATATCTACCTGAAGAACTCTTTCTCTTGAAATCCGCTTGTCTTTTTCAAATTCAGCTGCCAGAACTCTTTTTATATAAACGTGCCAGAACTCTTTTTATATTTTTTTATAGTTATTTTATCACAATTTTAGTTATTTTATAACAAAAAAAAAATTTTAACTTTGTTTCTTTAATACTTTTTGCTTAAAACGAAAAAAAATTTCATAAATAGAAAAATTTTCATAAATAAGCATTCTGGTTTGCTCGCAAATAAAACTTTTCATTGTTTTTTGTTACGCGTATTTTTGTTACATCACAAAAAGGTATTTACTGAATTTTAATATATATGTATAAATGTTTTTTTAAAGTTTAATTTATTTTGTTTAAATTATACAAAAATAGTTAAGAAAATGCTTTTATGTAGTTATAACAATATTAAATACTTGTTTATTGTGATAAATGGAAAATAGTATACTAAAATCAAAAATTGAAAATTCAAATTTCAAATTTTATTAACTGAAGAAATTAATATCAATATTTTTCCATACACTATGCAAAAACTTCTAAATGTATTTTAAAATGTAAATATAGTTTATTTTAAAAATATGCAAAAAATCGTAAAAAAAGTGTGTTTGAAAAATTAGCTCTCTGGTTTTACTAAATTGAGAACCGCCCCGAACTATCTAATATTTCCGAAATAAACTCATTACTAACAGCTGCAAAAGATTTAATAGTTTAGCTGATTTTAATCAGCTTAAAATTAAAATATTTTTAAAAAAAAAAATACTTTAATAAGCTTGAATATGGCTGAAAAATACTTAAATTTGAGAATGTAATGAATTAAATAGTAATATCAATTTTAAAACATTTTCCTTAAGATATGGTATACGAATTAACACCACTACCCTTATTTCACTCTTTTACCAACAAAATTAATCAATACCAAACTTTATTGAATAAATTGACGGGGGTTTTTTTTTATTTCTACATAAAACCTTGGATCAAATGTTCAATTTATTAATTTCTATCGCTCTGCTTGTGATTGTTATTGTATTAGATGAATAAAATAAAGAAAAAGTATGATCTTGGATCATCCACAATTATTATTGTTTAACTTGGCTAACAATCCGCTCGGCATATAACACCCCTAACACCACATCTGTCCATCAGCCCATGAATCAAATTAAAACGAAGTCTTAAAGTCAGAAATTTGCGCGTTTGTGTATCAAAGCTCCCCTGCCAAAAATTTCTATACTTCAAGTAAGTTCTTGTTTTCAAATGAAATGTTGTGTCAAAGGAGACTGTCATCAATTGCTTTAAAAAAGCTGGTATCAGCAAAACAAACAAAAGTATTTAAGAAGCTGATGATAATCATTCTTTTAAGATAGAAGAACTTACCCGTTTGCGAGAGTTAGATTCAAGTGCCGTTTAAGAAGATCTTTCAGCCGAATCTTAAATTGGTTTAGATTGCAATGTAGTAACAACCGGTTCACTTGCTCCTTGCTACTTATGCTGAAATCATAGTTCAGATTTTAAACCCTAATTTTGAAAAGACGATAATGAAATTGAAGTTAGCGTTGACGAAGGTATTGACGTCGAAGCCCGGCCACGCGCATCAGATATTAAATTCAAAAATGCTTTTGAAACTAAATGCTTCGCTATACAGCTCAAAATACGTAAATGAAATGTATTTCAATCCCTAGCACTAAAACTTGAGGATTTAATGAAAATGGAAAAGATTGATAATTTGAAGCAATACTAGATAACATATTTTTTACAAAAGTTATAGTTTTTGTTGTTAATGATTTTCGTCAGAAAAATAACTTGTTTTTATGAAAACCGGACGATTTTATTCATTTTCAACCGCTTTCTTAATATCTCAAACTCTCAATATCTCGAATTTTTTTCCCAGTTCCCTTAGTGTTTGAAATACCGAGAGTTAATTATATATCAAATGAATACTCGGGTCGCAAATGAATACTCGAATACTTGTATTTCAGCATGTTTTGATTTTTTATCAAGATCTAGGTTAGGGGTTGTCTATAAAGTACGTACGTCTAAAATTCTGAAATTTGTTCAATTCCCATTAATGTCCTATTTTATTTTTTTTTTTGTTTAATGAGACACATCAAATTAAAATAAACTATACTTAAGGCAGACGTTTTTTTCAGGCACCCCTCTTTAGTAAGTCCGTAAAAAGCAAGTCACGCGAGAAGAGTAATATTAAAAACAAAGCTTAAAACCCAGTGCCGAGTGTAGGCTATCCATACCCCGTAATTAGAGGGGGTGGGGTGTTATGGGGGAGCAGCAAATTTTATGGCTTTTTGCTATTTTATTTTAGCAAAACCTAGCGGTAAAATTTGGAAGATTTTGAGATCCTAATGACACGTTTTTTTTGGGGGAGGAGGGGGTATCCGACCTATTAGCCATTGCACTGCTAAAACATGTTTTTTGTTAACTTAAAAAATAGGCAACCTATTTTCGCACATGCATGCACACATGCCACCCCTTATATACTGGTCCTGAGAATACTCAGGGCCAGTATATAAGGGATGGCATGGGCAGGGTCGTCCCGAAGAGATTTTAAAGGATGGGGGGTGATGTGTCTGTTTTCTGTCGACTAAAGCCAAGAAAACCTGTCATAAAATAGCCCTGAAACGCTTGCTTCCCTGCTTACGTGAGGGCGCTTATGTTTTTTAGATCGTTCACGTGAGGGCGCTTATGTTTTTAGATCGTTAAGTTAAAATTTTTAACTTAACGATCTAAAATTAAATTCAAATTTATCGACAGAATTTGATTTTTGTTAAAAAATATTGTAAATTACAAAAGTTATGTTGATGCAAAATATACAGCCCCTTATTTATCTATTTTTTTGGGGGAGGGGGTCGGAAAATTTAACTACATTAGTGCCCTCATGTTTGGGCAGGGGAGGGATGCAAGCATTAGAGAGCTTTTTTGTTCCCAGACTACCGCCATAACAATTTTTTGGAAGATGGCATAGGTATAAACATACTTAAGTTTGAAGTTTGTACAATGTGTGGAAGTGGTTTATCTGGAATATCAAAAAGTTCTGCGGCTCCCATGCATGTGTGCGCATAGAGAGAAACTATAGCTTCTACTCCCTATACAATACATCTTTTTATGTTGGGAAACTAGGATCTCTAGTCAGAATTTTAACTTTTCTATTGACTAGTTGGTTAATTGTGTAAAATTAGAAAATCAGTAAAAGTACCTACTTTTAAATTGAACTCCCCCCCCCCCCCCTCCAATACGCTTTCTTACGCTTTTTAAAGTCCTTCCCCCTCCCCCCTATGAGCGTACAAACTTTATGGACGACCCCTTAAGATTCAACATTATTCCGACTCAGGTTAACTTTGTAACGTCACTGACGTATTATTTTCACTAGTTGTTTAAAATGTTAAAATACGTAAACAAAACACCACGTAGTGTTAAAAGGTATTTAGATAAAGACTTCTTGGTGTATCTATAGTTTAAACATTATATTGACTTGAATTTAATTAAAGTAAATCAGAATTCACATGATTATGTAAAGTTCGTGGTTGACATTTCCATAAAAATTTTATTTTTATATATTGTTTGCAGTACATGGTAGGGGTATCTCTTATCTAATAATGGGAGATCTTCACCAAAAGTATAACTTGAAAAGTCCAGGTTTATTATTTCGTGATTTTTTTTAAAAAAAATACCTATTTTATAGTTCGTAAAAAAGAAATCATTCTCACATTCTCAGCTACATACTTAAAATAGTTATTTGTTTTTTAATTCAAAAAAATACATAAATATATATTTTATATATATAACTTAGATTGAATTTGTAACTCAAAATTACAAGTTTTTTAGATTAAAAAAATTTTTTGATAGTTATTTTTATTTTTTTGTTGTGTTTCTTTTTTGGTATATATTTATTTTAATTATATTTTAATTTCTTTGTTTAATAGCAGCAGTATTTGTTTTAGTTATCATTTAAAGCTTTGTTTTAGCCATTAATTGTGAAAATTTAGACCTTTTGAGAATAGTGGTTTTTACCTTTATTTAACCACAAGGATATATTGTACCATTTGAACCACAAGGATATATTGTATCTTCGAAATATTTTTGTATTTGTGTATAAACTTCATTTTATACAACAGAACTTCATTGATGTATCATAAATCTATAAGTAAATAATATAAATAAAATTAAAAGCTTTATAGGGTAATCATAATAATAAATAATTTACATTTTGTTCAAAATACCAGTAGTACAAGTAAATAAATTACACCTTCTTCTCTGCAATACTTCTGAAGTCTGTATAAGTTTGCATTTGCTGTAGGAATATAATTGAGAATATTAATTTAAACAAATGTTAAAAGTTTGCAACTGATAATAGCTTGAAGTATAATATGTCAATAATTAATTCATTTTTTTTTTTACTTTTTATTAACTAAATTGATTTAAAAATAATAATAATAATACAACAAAACCGATTTAAAAATAATAATAATACAACAAATAATAATACAACAACAATAATGATGATGTTCCATTTCATCATTTTTACATTCTCTCTGACATCTTTAAGTTTTAATTAGTCTATTGTTTAAAGATCTAACCAATTTGAAGCAGTGTACTTTTAAGTTGATTGTTTTGGTAAAATATCTGTTTGTTTGTTTTTTTTAATTTTTTTATTTTAATTCACCTCCTCAAGGCCGAGAAGACCACTACAGACAAGGAGGCTACTTATTTGTGGTAACAACCCTCTCTCAACTCTATAACTCCGAAACACGAACCTTGACGAACGAGGCTGCTGCACGGAGAAACAAGTTGAGCGCGGTACTACCAGGGACGTGGTGGGAATCAAACTCGGAACCACTTGTATATGAAGCGAGCGCTCTACCACTACACCACTACCACATAATGTTTAAACTTCATTTGGCGTGGATATTGTAGGAAGATCCAATGACACAGTTTCATCTTGTTTTTGTTACTGTTGTGCATTAGATTGCTTCAATGAACTTAGATTTGTTGTTCCATAATAATTGTAGGTGAGTCTTGAGTTAGTGGTGTAAGATGACAAAAAAATTATCTTACACCACTTAACAGTAGATTCACAACTGCTAACATGCTTATTAAACCATGTTGATATTGAGTGTCCTCTAGCCGAATATCTTTGATACATAAGGAGTCATTCATGTGGAGTTTCATTAGTAGTTGCAGCCCTCAGAATTAGGAAAAATAAGGTTGACAAAAAATTGCTAACTTAAAAGTGTTTTAGGTCAGCACAAAATTTAGAACTAGAGTTTGATAAATTATTGATATGCAAATATTTAGCATAAAATTGAGAGAGTAAAGTATGCATATTTGCAAACTTTTTTTTCAAACATTGATGTTTGCTTGAAAATTTAAAAAATGAATGCAGCATTTTACCATTTTATTAAGATTTTAAAAGAAACAGTTTTACAAGTTTTGTTTTAATTATTTTATTTAGAATTAAAATAAACATTAGTTTTTTTCTGTTTTATTTTAAATGAAACATTTGTTTTTCTATTTTTATTTTTATTATTTTATTAAGGATTTTAAATAAAAAATTTTTTGTATATATTTAGAATTTAATAAAAACTTTTGTTTTATTGTTTTCTTTCTTGATTATTTAATTTAGAATTTAAATTAAGTTGTTTTTTTTATTTTCTTTAGAATTCAATTAAATTCTAAATAATATAATTAAAATAAAAAAAAATTGGTTGAAAAAAACATTAAAATAAATGTTTTATTTAATTAAATAAAAGGTTTGTTTTAATATTGCTGTTTTTTTTTAATTAATTTGTTCAGAATTTATAAAAAAAAGTTTGTTTTCTCGTTTTTATTTTAATTATTCTGTTTAGAATTTAAATAAAAACTTGATTTTTTTCTGTTATGATTTTAACTATTTTATTTAGAATTTAAATAAAGCATTTGTTTTGTCAATGCTGTAATAATTGTTTTACTCAAAATTTAACTAAAATGTTTTTGCACTTTCTTTTTAACAACTTTTTTTAGAATTGAAATACAATGTTGTTTTTCGGTTGTTTTTAAAATAGCAAATAAAATTAAATTTTAAAATTCCAAGGTTGGCAAAAAATTGCCGACCTAAGACACTGTCAATTTAGCAGTTAGTTTGATGTTGCCCGAATGCCAACCTTAATCCCAAAGGCTGGTAGTAGTGTTGATTTAAGATTGAATGGAATGGAGGGCATCCTCCCAATATTTTAAACCAAGGTTTCATGGTTGGCTTTAAAATTTGTGAGGGCAAACTCTGGATATTTTAAATCAAGGTTACACGATTTCAAAGCTAATTTGATTGTTTTCATAATAATACCACTGTATCACTCTGCTTGACCATTTCCCTGAAGGTTTTATGGAAAAGCAATCAGTAACAGTTGTTAGCCTATGTTGACGTAAAGAAATACAAATACAAATTAAGAAAATTCATCAATGATGGAGAGCATATTAAGAAAATTCATCAATGATGGAGAGCATTGGTCTTTTAAAATCAATGTTTAGTGTTTTAATTAACTGGGTAGCATTAATGAGTTGGGACTTGTAGTATGTAGAAAAATAGTTTGAATTGTTGGCATACTTGACATTTGTCTCTTACAAATTTCAGATAATCTACTGAAAATGGTTGCAAGAGTCATTCTGGTAACATCAGGGTGGCATAATGAATGCATAAGATTTCATACAACTAAAAGTATCAAATGCAATATTTTCTATCCCTTTTTAGTAAACAATGTCAAGGCTGTAACAAGACATTATAGATATATTTTATTATTCTTAATTTTAATTGTATTGTTCTTGTTAAACATAAATAATACAGATTGTTGATCAGCTAAAAGCTTGAAAGCTTATAGTTAGTAGATAACACCAATATCAAGCAGATTCAATAATAGCAAATGTCTCTTTTTTAATAAGGGGATGTTTTAGTTCAGATTGATGTTATGATTAGAAGAAAAAAAAAGCAACTTGTCCACTGTTTTAATTAAGAACCTTTGCAATAGTTTTATCAGACACATCAGTTTTTAATTCAAATGATTCATTCTTATTAATAGAGCACACAACAGAGTACTCAATATCTTTCTTAAGAGTAATAATACTTCAATAGATAAAGCATCTAAAGTTAAAAATTTAACTTTGAAAAATGGGGCAATCTTCGTGAGAATTAAAGGGTCCAACATGAGTATTACAAAAATAGACCTAATGTTTGTTTCAAGGATTTTGTAGTCAGAGTTGCTTTATGTCTGGCTTGATTTGTTGGTAACAAACTTGTAGTTTTGAAGGTTTAGAGATGTAGTAGATGAAACACATTTTTTGTTGTTGTAAATTAAATATTTTGCTTTCGCAGCTAAAAGGAAGCGTTTGAGGTTGTAGGCATGCTCCTCCTGATTGTTATTAAACTACCAAAATAGACAAAAGTATCTTTCAATTTCTTTTCAGCAATAAAGTTGTTTAATGTAAGCCTTTGTCATCTTTAAATGCAGTACAGGCAATCTTCTTGTTTAATTGGGTTCTCGTGACAGACTGATTAACAATCAATGGCACTAAAGTATCATCTACTTATGGTAGAAGCTAAGCATCATGACATGTAAAATGATTGGTAGTTTGACTGTAATTTTTAAGCTTTTTCAATTTTTCATTTTTTGTTACAACAGCTTGTGATCTTCTTAGTGAATGTTGAATGTTGAATGTCTTCTTGTCTTCTTAGTTTCTGTCTTAGTGAATGTTGAAAACCTTCTGTTGAATGTTGAATGTCTTCTTGTCTTTTTAGTTTCTGTCTTAGTGAATGTTGAAAGGTTCAATAATTCCTTCTTTTTACTTCCTAACTAATAAAGTTTCTGTCTTAGTTGTTTTTTTAAAGTTTTTTTCTCTTTCTAGAAACAGATGCTGTAAAAGTAGGTTACTGATAAACTGAGAATAGATAATCTTTGTAATGTTTTTGACTAGATTTTTAAGCTTTGTCAAACATATCTCTAAGGTCATGTCTCTATTTTCAAGAAGTGACTGGCAGGTAGGTTGACTCATAAAACTACATTTTTTGAAGATGTCTGCTGGTACCCCCTTAATGTGCTCTATGTAATAAATTAATACTAAATTTATAAAATTTTTGAAAAAAAATATTTGTAGGGGTTGCTCAAAACCCTTAAACATCAGACAGGTCCCTAATATTTTGAAAAAAAAAAGTTCTTCAAAAGCATATGTTGGGTCTAAAAAGTGAAATTTTATAGAATTTCAAAAATAATATAAAAAGTTAAAATTAAATTTAAAAAGTTTTTTTTAAAAAAACTATGAAAATACGTACTTTTTTAATTTTTGTTAAAAAATTATAGTTTTTAAGCCATAAAATTTAAACTAGTAATCTTTATATAAAATGATTATTGTTTTTAGATGTTTTATAAAATTTCACTTTTTTTGAGAAACAACACGATATGCTTTTAAAGAACTTTTTTTTTCAAACTACTAGGGACCCGTTTGATGTTTAAGGGTCTTTAGCGACCCCTAAAACTTTTTTTTTATTCAAAAATTTTTTAAATTTAGTATTAATTTATTACATAAAACACAATTAGGGGGTAACAGCAGACATTTTCAAAAGATGTAGATTTAAGAGCCACCCTTTTAGCAAATTTTATTAGTAGCTATTCCAGTGATAAATAAGTCAAGATTAGGAGTCTGATAAAGGATTCAAGAATCCCTTTTTGGTATTGTAATGCAATAACTGCTTTTAAGTTACATTCTTTGGCAAGTATTTTAAGTGTTTGGATATAATCATCAAATGATTCACCTGATTTTTATCAACGTGTTGCTAAACAATTTTGAGCAAATATAGCAATGGTTTAATGTAGAGATTACTCAATATTTCTATAGCAGAATCATAGATGTTACATTCACTAATATATTCATAAATCTGATGAGAAAGAAAATTAGAAAAGCTTTATGACCTGCAAATCCTGCAGGTCATAAAGCTTTGTCCATTGTTGCAGTGTTACTCGATGACTAATATATATATATAATATATAATAAATATATATAATTTATATAATATAACTCAATGACTAATAAGAATAATAATGACTTAATAATATTAAGGGGCTTGGCGATAAGACTGAGTTTGTCTTCTTCTTGCCCCAGTTGTATATTTACATTTTATGATAAATAATTTTTTAAATTTTTCTTTATGGTGAAATACATAATAATAGTATTAATAATAATAATAATAATAATAATAATAATAATAAGTTAATAAAATTGTTATGAACTCGAAGGATAAATATCAATAATTTATTCATTGCTTTTTAACTTTTTATTAACTAAAACAATAAGAATAATTATTGTTATTGTTGTTAACATAACAACAATAGCAATAATGTTCCATTTCATCACAGTAATGTTTTTTTTTTTGTTTTTTTTTTTCGCTATATCCTAATGTTATATTGTTAATTATAGAATAGAAATAAAATTTTAATATATTGAACTAAGTTTATATTTTTCTTGAAATAACATAAATATTAGTTTTGCTATGATGATGTAATGCAAATGGTAATGTGGTTTAATATTTAATTATAGCTGTAAAGCGGTTAATGCGTGAAGCTGCAGAGTTATCTGAACCCACTGAACAATATTTTGCGCAACCATTAGAGGTATAAGTTATTATAAAATCATAATTTTTATTTTGTTTTAAATAGTAATGCAATAATATTAGATGATATTTTAGTTAACATAAAACATAAGTTAACATTAACCTTTAGCTAACATTAAACTTTAGTTAATATTAACCTAACCCTAATCCTGACCCTAAAAAAAAAATCATGAAAGATAAAATTTGATTATATCAGAGTATTGTCTACAAATCTAAAAATCAAAATGTTTTATCACTAATGATATACTTTATATTATCACAAAGCAACTTTCACAATAAAAAGGTTGCAAATTAGTTTGTAAATCTTAAAAATATGATTTTTAATATATATAAAAATTTTGTACAAGACACTAGCAAAAAAATCTATTCAAAATGTTTATTAGTTTGTTTATGTTAAAAAAAATTTTATTATGTATGAAAATCAAGTATTGCATGTAGTTTAATGCTTCATTTTCATATATGTTACAAAATTTACATACAATTTATGATGGGTTTTTAAGTTTTTAACATTACATTATATTCAAGTTATTCTTAAAAATTTTTTAAAACTTTTAAAAGTTGTTCTTAAAAATTTTTTAAAACTTTTAAAACTTTCTAGAATGTGCTAAAAGTTGTCATGTTAGTAGAGAGGGGTAGTTGACTACCCCTCTATACTAGTAGAGAGGGGTAGTTGGCTACCTCTCTATACTATATGTTAACATTTCAGATTGGCATTTCAGTTCTATTAAATTTTAAAAATATAAAAAAATGGTATAAGTTTAAATTTTGACAGGTTTTTTTAGTTCATCTTACCCCTTCATAAAATATTTCTGCTATACAAATCTTAATATAATAGCAATAGTCATGAAAATGGCAGACCAAAATGGAAGACTAAAATAAAAGAAATAAAATAATTTTTTTTTTATTAAAGCAACTTTACTTCAACAATATAAAGTTCCAGGAAATTAATTCTAAAACATGCCAGACTATTTGGGGAATAAATATAAAATCAGGGTTAAGTGCCAAAAAAAATTTTTTTTGTTTGATATTAAAATGTTTTCAATTTGTTAGTTTTGCATTTTCAGTTAAGTGATATTGACTGGGAAAAGTAGTAACTACTTTCATAGTGAATTTCACTTATTTTGTTTTTACTAGTGTTTGGTTCATAGAACACATTTAGTGTTTGGTTCATAGAATCAACCTAAAACAGCATGTAAAATAAGAATTCGAAGGCGAGCAGTCAATTTGTCGGATTTACTCCAAATTTTCTTTTTTCTTTGTTTAAATCTTAGTAATAGTTCTTCTTTACTAAACTTTGTAAATACAAAAATAAGTTAATGCTTAAAGAGTAAAGAATAGATTATTTTAATAACAACAATTTTAAATAAAATCAATGCTTTTTTTTAAAAGGGCAAAAAGGGAGTTGATAATTTTTGATTTATTTAAAAATAATTCATTTCAGTAAAATCACTTCGCAAATGGTGCAAAAAGCTAAGTGAAAAATAATAGAAAAAATTAAATGAAAAGAAAAGTACAGTTGCGATTAATTACGCTTAATAATTTTGAATAACAATAAAATAAATCTCTGAAGTTAAAGAAAAAAAACTTTAGCACACTTTATTTCTTTCGCTCATTAAAATCATTTCAAAAACTGATAATGTTAATTACTTAATAACAATGTTACTAACTCTTCTTTGCAGATCTATTTAAACTAAATATTTAATTCTTTAAGTTCTATTAAACATTCATCTTCCTAATATTAAACAATTTGTTTAATGAAACAAATTTTTAAAAATTAAGTTTTAAAATATTAAACAATTTGTTTAATGAAACACTAAAAATTATTAAATTTAAATAAAATGAGATCTTTAATAAATATATATATTTTTAATAATCCTGTTATTAAAAAAGAAAAAAAAAAAAAAAAGCGCTCAATTAGTAATTTTTAATTTATCTATAAACCATTCATTTATTGGCCATTTATTTCCAAAACTTACGCGAAATAAATAAAATAATTTATAGAAAAATGAAACAAATTGCCTAAGTGCAGATGAAAGAAAAACTGTTCACAGTTTAATACATAATTTATTATATATTATTATATTATTAATAAAATAAGATATAAAATTTTTATATTAAAATAGTAATAAAATAAGAACTGCAATCATTTAAAAAAAAAGAGTTTTTACCATTAGTAAAATAAAATTAAATAAAATTAGTGAAGCAAAAAACATAATGATTACAGTTTACGTCATTACGTATACGTTACTTACGCTCATCAACAACCCAGAAATCAATAATTCGCTTTGTTGACATTCGTCAACAAACCATTAACTCGCTTTGTTGACATTTGTCAACAAAGCATTAATTCGCTTTGTTGACATTCGTCAACAAAGCAAATTAATGAGTTTATATTAATGATAATTTTTTTTTCATATCCCACAATTTCACTATTTCACAACCCTGAACTCATAAGGGTTGTCAAAGCAGAAAAACTACTGGTTTCTATTAATATGCAATAATTATTAGATAGTTTCAATAGCGATAAGTTTAATATATATTCAAATATATTATAAGTAGCAGAATTACTAAGATAAAATTATTATTAAATTATTAATTTTTAATTATTGAATTATATTGATAAAAAGTAAATTTAATGGAACGTTTTTAAAACGAAGATAAAAACCAGACAATATTGAAAAATAGAAGGTATAAAGAAAAAATTCATTTTAACATTTTTTTGCTTTCAAACTTTTCACTTTAACGACCCGCAATTAAAGTAGCGTATCATAAACAAGAAAACTATTTTAAACACTTTCTCAAAATTTAAATAATTTTATAAAATTTTAGTACATGCATTTTCCAAATAACATCCTAATTATTTTTCAAACCTTGCTTTTAAATCTCTGAATTTTTTTTCAACTCTTGACCGGCAAGAGTTCATTTTGGGAGGTCAAAATAGCATTTTTAGTCATTTCAGGTGGTCATTATTTTCCACACTGACCTAATATCAAAAAGATAAAATATTTTAACATCAAACAAAAACTGGGCTAATTGATATTTAATAGTTTAGTATAGTTTAAAGTTTTTCTTTTTTCAATTGCATACCACAAATTATGCAACCTTTTGTAGTATGCAAATGTTGATATGCTTAAAAAAAGAAAAGCTGGGCCACAAAGTATCTGCTTTGTGGCACAGTTTTTCTGTTTTTGCATTAGTAGGATATTGGTTCTCTGTTTTTCTTATCATTATTATATGTTTGGGTTTACATTAATAATGATAAAAATCTTGGGTTTACCATCAGAATTATTGCAATTTACAATTTATATATATATATATATATATATATATATATATATATATATATATATATATATATATATATATATATATATATATATATATATATATATATATATATATATATATATATATGATGATTTTGTAGAAGAGGTCACAGTTCTTATCAGGTTTAAAAATTACATCCATCAAAAGAAGCAAAAGCAAAAAATTGTTTTAATCATTTTAAGATTTGTTGATACCCATTTGCTTAGATATCCTGGATATATCATTCCTTTTTCAGCTAATCAGAGTATTGTTTAGTAAATTAAATATATAATATAAATATATATGATGCTTTAAAATGTGTAAATTTATTTTGTTGTATAATATACTAAATTAAACAAGTTTATTTGTTTGATATATGTTTTTGTACTTTTTATTTGCATGGCTTAAAAGATAACAGAAAATTTATAAGTTTTAATATCATTTCACTACATAGGACAATATATTTGAATGGCATTTTACTATACGTGGTTCACCAGACACTGAGTTTGCAGGAGGTCACTATCATGGAAAAATTACTTTGCCTCCTGAGTATCCAATGAAACCTCCAAGCATTATTTTATTAACTGTATGTTATAGTTTTTTTATTTAAATTTTGTATAAAAAAAACACACTAATAATGACAATGTAATAAAATCCAATGTGATAATAAAATTTTATAAATTGATTTTTCATAGTATTTTTACTTTTATTACAATTTTTTTTGGAGTTTTGCTTTTAATAAGCAAAAATATTGTTACAAGTAATACAATTGTAATGTTTGTTCATATCCAAAGTTCTGTATATCTTCTTTTATAATTGATTGTTTTTTATTTTTTTTATAATTGATTAGTAATGATTATAACATAAATAGTTGGTCATATTGTCTAATTTAACCCAGCAACATATCACTTTTACCCTGGTTACCAAAACACTATTTTACCATAGTAAAATTGATTTTCAAGATATATACTATATAAACTTTTTTTTGTAATTTAGCATGCTTTTGTAAATATTTGTTTTTGTTATATTTTATACGTATTTGTTTCTCAATCCAATACTGGCTTATTGTCATTTATTAATTTATTTTGCTTATGAAACATATACTGATGCATTGCTTGTAATGGTGTACAGACATTAGGGTTGTCCAGTATGAAAAATCTTTTCAAAGCCAATCATACCTATTTTTTTCTTATTTTCATGTCGGAGCATAGTGTAAAAATAATTTTTTTAACAGTGGAACTGACATGTTTTCTAAACAAAACAAGTAGAACTACCTCAATTTCAAACTACCTTTTTTTTTAAATACTTCCTCCCTCAAATAAATTAGGTGGTTGCTTATCATAAAAAAAATAACATCATCAACTTCTGGTCTATTTCTTTATAAACCATCATTTTGTGTATGAATTGCAAACATAAGCACCATCAGCACCATTGGCTGACAATTTTATCTGGTGTGTGGAAAAAAATTCTAATACTTTGAGATCAGCTTGAAAAATTCAATATATTAAGAATGATTTTCTAAATAAAAATGTTGGTAAAGTTAATGCTTATAGAATAATCGGTTTTGAAATTTTAAATATCGTAGTTAAACTGTTTATTGTTCACAGTGTATAAACAATAATAGCTTGGTATGGAAATAAGAGTATTGTAAAAAAGAATGGTATGCTTCAATTTTGATATGTTCTTGCAATATTTGTGGATATAGAAAAGAGTTCTATACATCTATACATAGTTTGCAACTGCACATATAGTATTATTTTTTGTATTGTGTATAAGAGGAAACCAATAGAGCAAAGCTTCTTAGGACTTTTTTTAGGAAATTTTTTTCTGTATTAACGAATCTTTTAAGCCCTATAATAATATATATATATATATATATTCTATATAATATTTTCTATAATTCTGTAGAATCTTTTAAGCCCTATAAGTAAAATAAGTTACAATAGTTCACTGGTTACAATAGTTCACTGGTATTATTTTTAAAATGTTACACTTTAAAATCATTGATACTGTTGCTATAGGTGCTAAAGAAACCGTGTTATAAGCAGCAAAAAAAAATTTAAAGATAATAACAATAACATTGTTACTGGAGTTTAAACTGGTTTTAAACTTGACAATTTTGAAAGTACAGGTCGTTAAATGGATTTGTGGCAATATCATCTATAAAAAATAGTAAGGCTTTAGATGTTAAGCCAATCAAAAGACTTAATAAGCAATGTCATCTATGTAAAGATCTAAAATCAAAGAATCTGGAAAGCTACAAATATTGATGCAAATCTTATAGTTGTTGCATAATTTGTATTGGCTTTGCAGAATATATGGAAGTGACTGTAGCCAAGTGTTAAGTGACTTCCATACTAGGGTCAATTATTAAACATTTAAAACCCGTTTGTGCTAGTCTTTGTTATTTAAATATGAAATGCAATAAGGCTGTTTGAATGCCATTCTTTAGTTAACTAGAACATAAACACTTTTTTATTATTTTATTAGGATAATTTCAATGAGCATAAATAAGGATGATGGAACAACTCTTTAGCTCATTCTGATACATTTACTTTTTTTGATCACCAGAACAGGTTGCAGAAGAAATCTTGTTCTAATAAAAGTAAAAAAAAACTTCTTTTAGCAGACAACAACAATGATAGTCATAATTTATCATTTGAAGTCTAATAACCATCAATTTTTTGGTCAGACCAAATATCTGCTAAAGCCTGTCCAGCAAAACCTAAGTTCTGCTTTTCTAAATCTTCATCATTGTCTGGCCTGATTCAAAATGATATATTGATTATAAAAAGTTTAAAATTATTCTATATTTTATGAGTTATTTTTTATCAGTGAATATTTATAATTACTTTAAAAATCAATATGAGTTCTAAAATATTTGTGTGGAAGAATCAGCAAAAATAATTATTTACTTTAGGTGCTATTTAAAACTCTGCTCCGTTGAATTCTCAGCATTTGTTATGAAGAAAAGAGCATTAAGTTTATTTATCATGAAATAATGAATTCCAATTTAAATTACATACTGGTGTCTGATAATTTTATTAGGTCTTCTATTAATGTGTAAGACAATGATAGGCTTAACGATATTAATCAGTGGCGAGATAAGGGGTGTGCATCCCCCCTCCTCCTCCTCCTTTAGAATCTGAAAGTCCTAAAATATCTTAGAAATGGATGGCCTTTTTTTTTTTAAGGACGCGCAAATATGATACAAAATACAAAAATATTTCAACATGCCCCCACATTAAAAATTCCTTGATCTGTCACTGCTGGTAATAGAATTTAACTACTTGATATCCAAGAGCTTCCGAAAGTCGAATCTATGAATGTAAGCTGTTGAGGATGCCTGTTTTTTTGATCAAACAGCAATATAAGTAGGTCCAGAAAAGATAACAG